AAAAAAAAAAAAAAAAAAAAAAAGAATTCTTTCTTGTTAGTCGTCGCGATCAAGCGACCAGTTTTTACGCTCCTGTGCAAAACGACACCTGTCTACCATGCTGTCCGCAGATGGAGTACTGGATGGCGAGCAACGAGACCGGTCACAATGGCACGGAGGAGACAATCCAGGAGGTCCTCAGAAATCCAGGATCGGCGGTGCTGTTCGTTGGATATCCCCGATGGCTTTTACACTTTGCCGCCGGATGCTGCATACTGTTCATGCTGATCGGTATACCGGGGAATTTATTCACCATCATCGCCCTCTTTCGCAGCAGAAAGGTCAGCGCTCGAATAATACCTCTGCATATTTTTCTCTGTAATTTTTATATATTATAATTTTCTCGTAATTCATAATACAGAATTACCAGAATTTGTGCTGGTATTTGTTTTTGAGCAACTTGATTAATTTGAATCTATTAGTTTTCTTAATTTGCGACTTTCTGTGGGAATTTTAGTTTGAATATCTTCTCCTTGATGGTGTACCTTTGAAGATTTCAATGATTTGTTTTTGTAGAATAGGTATATAAACGGAAGTACATAAATCTTTCAATAAAGTGAAAAGATGTCCGCGCTTTCAATGTGCAGGCAACAATTTGAATGATTCTTTGATCAAGAATGAACAGAGGATTCGAAGTTGCATTCCAAGCTTTGTTTTCTTACATAAATTTTACAAGCTTATTGAAAATTAACTAAATAATGTAATAGTTATAAATTTGCTATAACTTATTATTATAATGATAAATTTGTTAAATATGAATTTACTGATTTCGAAAATTCATTTTGGTATAATATTCTAAAGATTTGATTAATTTGAGGTTGTCTTTCTTAATTTATATTGGAATTGCCAATTGTTGTCAGAATCAGCAATTTTCTATATTTAATTATCGAATTGTAATATGTTTCACGTTCAATTAAACAAATTTCATTCTATAAATTTTTTAAAAATAAACATCATTGACAGATAGAAGGATATTTAAAATTATTTCAAAATAAAATGAATAATTAAAAACATTTCAATGATCTTTCATCCCAGAGTGAATATTACTTATCTTATAAGGTAAAATAGCATAAACGTGGAAACTAAAAATTTCAAATGACGAATTCCTTACGTGGAACAAAGTATAATTGACCGTTGCGGTTACTTGAATTTCTAGTAAGTAAATTTACTGTGATTGTATTCACTCCTAGAACTAGGATAAGTTTGTAACTGGTTCACCTCGAATCTCATTTTAAGACAATTGCGAAGTAAAAGTGGCACAAAATGGCAATTAAAAATTGTTGTAAATGAATTATGTGTGTAATAGCACTCTGTTTATTTGAACGAAGTTTTAGTCAGTGCCTGATTAATTCTTTTGGTGCTATGGACGAGATTTTTCTCGCTTTATAACGTAACATAAATGAATTTTTGCTAGTTAAATAGCACTGAACTCCTATTAATATGAATGAAAAACCATTAAAATTTATTTCATTTTTTCTTTTTTAACATTTCTCCATAGATTTAATTATTTCTCTTATACTATTAAATATCATTGAATATCAATCAGTTAAATAATTATCGTAGCACATTTTGCCAAAGAAAGA